AAATTAAATGAAGAAATCCCCCCTCTCTTTCACAGAAGCAGATGCAGTTGTCAGGTAGAAGGACGTGATAACATTTGGTATCTTTTTCATAGATCTAAACGGGTTATGTTGAAGAAACAGTATTTCTATTCAGAAATACGCACAGCGCCGCATTATCTGAAAAGATGGAGAGCATAAAACAGGACCAAATCTTTGGGGGTTATCGGCTGTTCAACAGGACAAGCTGCAGGATTTTCTTACTGAGATGCAAACAAAAACAAAGGCAAAATTAAGAGGTGACAAAAATAAGGTGCAGTACTGGCGGGGACATATATAAAAGAAATTTTTTCTATAGACCTATGATAGAAACCCTTATAAGGGTTTACTATCCAAACTGTCGACTTTGCATTACTKCAGATGAATCCCAACTGCAATTCCAAAGAAACAAAAATCCTCATTCCCTGTATTRAATTCTGGTACAATTTCTAATATTCAGTGCACCAGGTCAGGTTTACCGCTTTCCCAGAACGGTATAGTGCCAATGGGCAGATTTTCATTTCTGTTTCTGGAAAGCTTTTAGATTTTGTTTGCTGGTCACTACCCTCTACTGGCATCGTGGTGTGCTGCAGTTGTTTTGTTTGACTAAACACCGTTCCACACTAGTACGCTATGACTTAYGGGTTTTCTTGTGCTTTTCACACAGACAGTGAAAATTGAAAAACAGTGGAGCATATAAAAGGGAAAGTATTCTGTGTGGTTTTCATTGGGTTTATTTCTATTATTTAAATATAAATTATATTATTTGAATCAAGCCATTCATTACAAATAGTGTCCTGTATCCTGTGGGTTGGGTTTTTTTTTTTTTTGGCTACTAAAGTGCTTTAGAATTGGATGACTTTTTTTCTCCTGTGATTTCTAGGAAACGTTTTGTGGCATTCACTTTATACTGAAATTTCCTTCAATATATCATCAGCATACTGTAACTATGTTTTCCCATTAAAATTGTAGTGAACAAATCATACAGATCTTAGTACAAGTTTTTGAAAGAGGACAAACAAAGTGATACCTAAATTCACTTTAGACAATGGGAAGAGTTAGCTCTGGAAGACAGAAGAGAAACATGAACATGTCATAACAGGAGTTGCAGTAGTCGTCAATACAAGAGCAGGCTTCTGTTGAAYGAGGCAGGTTTTAGCAGGTTTGGAAGGAAACAATAATGGCTTTTCAACTTCTGTCAAGAGATTCCAGGAACTGGCTATTGACAACCCTTTTCCTAATGCCCTTCAATGGAGCACAGCCTCGAGGAATTCCATGTCAATCTCATGCTTATCTTTCAAAACTGTACGAAATTAAGTTGGATCTTTCAGATATTGGAATTACAAAGATATTCACATATCATAGTTTAGAAGTAATAAGTAGTTCTATATGAAATGATGCAAAGAACTGCAACTCTCCATGATGCAAAAAGGATTTCTATTTTACTTTATTTTCTATTCTACTTTATTTTATTAATAAAGTGACACAAGGTATACTTGTGCTTTTTGTAGTATATATCATTTATGATCCCATTCTCTTCAATTCTACCTGGACTACTTCCCCCTTTCAGACTTYAGAGTAATAAAGCATCTCCCCAAATTATATAATTTTCTCAAATGGTTTCCCCAATTGCATTTTGAGGAGTGTTACACCACTGYGTTTCTGAACAAGGAAATGCTGCACCTGAGAAGTGCACCGACATTTCTCCTTGTGATTATGTTAGAGCATCTTAGGGCAATTCTGYATACTGTACCCAAGGAAACCAGATGCAAGTGGCTAAAGGCTGCACTGCTGTCTGATTTGGCACTGTGCATCCCTGCTGACAAAAGGTGCATCATACGTCAGATGCATCAGATGTTTGCTGCCTGTACCTCACTGCAGCATACCTATAAAATTAGAAAGGCAGCACAATCCCATGGCATTGCCAAAATCCATTTTCCTGGTTTTGCCCTCCCACAAAAGGTTGAAGCTAATCTATCTCAGGCCAACACACAAGACTGCAGTACAGTGTGCACTGTGCTTTTTTAACTCACCCTGCAAACAGAACAGAGACCCCAGTTTTCTCCTAACAGCCATCAATGCACATCAGGCCAGACTTCTGAACCTGGTTTTATCCTGACAGCATGTCCAAAGCCTGTAAAAGCTGCAGAACAGTCAAACTAGTGTGGTCATCTCTGTCACATTTCMTCTTTACATTGATTTCAGGTTCCACAGTTCTTTACAATTAAACTGTTACAGTAAATCGTTCACTGTGAATCCCATGCAATGGAGACTACAGTTTTACTTTCTTCAGTATTGACTGCTATTTGAGAGATTGTCAATATCCAGAATTCTGATGTAACCAAATCCTATACATAAAATCCCAGCAAATAAACTAAAGATCCTGCAAGATTTTGAAGGACCTAGCCTATACCTAGGCTTACAGAAACACTAAGTTTAAGTGTTTACATACAGAATTGCTACATAGTAGCCATTTTGTAGTAAACACTGATGTGCGTGCTCAAACCAAACATTACCACAGTGAAATGGTAAAAATTACTCGCATACAATTATTTCCCACCCAAGGTCCTGGCCTGAGAGCTGGAGGTACGCGCCGGGCTGGCCTCCAGCAGCTCATGCGATTTCTTTGTGTGAGTGGAGTGTTTGCGCCAGCAYTGCAAAACCGCAAATGCAGCTCGGGCTGGGGGCAGCTCGGGGGCGGCTCAGCGGCAGCTCCCGGGCGGCTCAACGGCAGCTCCCGGGGAGAGAAGGGACTCGGGGAGCGCTGGCTCCCGACAGCGGCAGCTCAGCCCGAGGGGCTGCGCCAGCCGCCGCCCTGAAATCCCTTTTGCGTCAYAGCTCCGGCAGCGCGCTCGGAAACGCTGACAGACCTTGCCCTCGCCGACACACGCTGCCATGTCATAGCCCAGCTATCTGCACGGAAAGAGCTCGGCTTCTTTAGAGATGCGAGCAGCTCGGGGACGACCCCCTAGAGCCTGTTCCCCGAGCTCCCCGCTTTCCGCCCGGTGGCCCCTCAGCCCCCTGGCCGCGGGCTCTGCAGCCGGGCGCCCTTCGCAAGTCAGGCGGGGCACGGTGCGGCGGCGGGAGCGACCAGGGCCGGGCTGGCTCCCGGCTCCTTCCTCCGTCCCCCGAGTGCCGGGGGCTGCTGCAGGGGCTGCTGCAGGGGCTGTGTCCCCCGCCCCGGCTGCCTGCGCGCCGCYCCCACTGCCCTATTGCCCATGTGTGCCGGTGGCGGCGGGGTTTCTCAATGGAGAGCCCGTCCTCCTGCGGCAGCATCCCTGCGCGGCGGGGAGAGCCGGAGAGCTGTATGAAACCCCGCCGAGAGCGGGGGGCAAGCACACGGCCGTGCGGCCACAGCGGCCCGGGACCGGCGCGGCGAGGGAGMTGCTGCTCAGCCTGCAACGGCGCGGGCACCGACACTGGGAACCCAAATCCTTTGTCTATGGCTTTCTAGGCAGTCTCCRAGCTGCGCAAGCCGCAGCGTCTGCACGGAGCGCCTGAGGGTCACCCCTACTGCCGCGGGAGACGCGGCGGTCCTCCGGAACACACACGYAGCCCTCCCTCCCCGCCTGACACCCGCGCACCCGCCTGCGCTATCGACACGTGTCCCAAAAGTGCTCCCTCTCCTCCCAAGCACTGCCCGCACCCCGCGCCGTAAGGGGCTGCTGCAGGACAGGGTGCCCGGCAGGTCGGAATCTCGTCTGACTGAAGATTTGCCCGTGTGTTTTCCCAGCTAGCCGAGCTCCCATTCATGAATTTTTGAAGCCGCCTTCATTCACTCTTTGGTGAGCGCATGAAAAACATTTTCACGTGTTAAGATCCATGACTGTTTTCTCAATCGCTTATGCGTAGGCATTGATTTAGGAATGAAAAGCACTCCACGTGCGCATAAAAATAACCCCGCGGTGGATGCGGTTGGTTTCCGTCTGGCAGCCGGTGATGCCCGAGCGGACACCCAGGAGTGCCTGGGTGCGCCCGCTCCCGCCGAGCTGCCCGGGGAAAAGTGGCTTTCGGCAGAAAGCTCTGGGCGACTCCGGGCGGGGAGCCCGCTGTGCCTCTCACACCCCGCTGGAGCGATACTCGCCGGGCAGAGCTGGGTCTCCGCACCGGTGAGGCTCTACGAAAATCAATTGAGTGATTCAAGAAACGGAATTCACTCAGGGTTCTTGGAAGGGCTCAGTTTTTCTGCCTGTTTCCTGAAGTACTAAAGCAGCTCAGATAATGCTATAAATGAGAGGTCTTTAACGGGAGCTTTCCCATTACCACCCGCCTCCTCTCTCGCGGACGGCGGGTGGGAGCCGCGGCGGCGCTCGTCTGTTCCCCGAACACGCATCACAGACAAAAGGCCCCTCCCTTTCCCCCCGCGATGCTGTTGAATGAAGCTCCCTAGCACAGCTCCCCACCGCCGGGGGTCCTCCCGCCCGCCCTGCCGAGGCGGCTGCTGCCAGGCGGGCGGCAGTGCCCCCCCCAACCCGCAGCGGGGATTGCCAGAGCTGCTGCCAGCCCTCCCTCCTCCCCGCCTGCCCCCCCGTTCGGCTCACGCGTCCTCCCCTCCCTCCTTCTCAGTGGTCTGCCGGCTGGCTTACGCAGGAGCCGCCGCCAGCACTGACAGCACTTGGCAGAAGGGGTTTGCCCGAGCGCTCCCAGAGCATCTCCAGAGGCGCGGCGGCACCGCCTGCCCGACTCACCAGGGGAGCGGCCCAGAACCGGGAACCGAGGCCAGAGCCGGAGAAAGGCTGAAAACCGGCAAGCACCAAAAATACCTAGAAAATATCGAATAATATTACTACTAATAATAAAGAGTGGTGGGCAGGAAAAAGAGGTCGCGGGGGAGAGCAGAAGGCGAGAAGAAGGCGCGCCGCTGAGGAGGGGCCCGGGCAAAGGGCAGAAGTGGCCCCTCGCCGGGGCTGCCGGCATTCCCCGTGCCCCGGGGCGGCCGTCGGGGCGGCAGCAGCAGCACGTGGCGGCGGCGGGGCATGGCCAGAGCGGGAGCTACCGCGGCCTGAGCCGCCCCCGCCGCCGGCACCATGGCAGCTCCCGGCGATGCCGGCCTCGACGTGGCGGCGGTGGAAAGTTTCCTAGAGAGGCACCCGGAGCTGGTGGAGAAGTGGCTGCAGAGAAAGAACTCGCTCGCTAAAGCGCCTGCCGYCCCTGCTGCCGGCCCGTCGGAGGAGCGGCGGAGCAGCGACGGCCCCGGCGGCGTCTGGGGGAGCGCGGGTGGCCCCGGCGGTCCCGGTCCCGGTCCCGGCCCCGGCGGGCTGCAGCGCCGAGCGTCCCAGAAGGAGCTGCGGAAGAGCTTCGCCCGCTCCAAGGCTATCCACGTCAACCTCACCTACGACGAGCATGTGCACGGCCGGGCGCAGGAGCCGCTGAGCAGTGTGCGGCGGCGGGCGCTGCTGCGGAAGGCCAGCTCCTTGCCCCCCACCACCGCCCACATCCTCAGCGCCCTGCTCGAGTCCCGCGTCAGCCTGCCCCAGTACCCCCCCACCGCCCTGGACTACAAGCGCTACCTCAAGGAGCACAACGAGCGTCAGTTCTTCCTGGAACTGGTCAAGGACATCTCCAATGACCTGGACCTCACCAGCCTCAGCTACAAGATCCTCATCTTCGTCTGCCTCATGGTGGACGCGGACCGGGGATCCCTCTTCCTCGTGGAGGGGTCCTCCGCCGGCAAGAAGACCCTGGTCTCCAAGTTCTTCGACGTGCACGCCGGCACCCCGCTGCTGCCCTGCGGTTCCACCGAGGACAGCAACGAGGTGCAGGTGCCCTGGGGCAAGGGCATCATCGGCTACGTGGCGGAGCACGGAGAGACGGTCAACATTCCCGACGCCTACCAGGTAGGAGCCGGGCAGGCTCCCCCGGCCCGCGGAGGTGCGGACCACAAGTGTCCCGTCGCCTGGTCCTGCCGCCCCCGTGGGTCGCTCCCCGCCGCCAGCCTCCCCCGGCGGGTCCTGGCCGGGAATGCCGCGGGTGTGCACGGGGTACCGAGGGGACTGCGGGGAGAGCCGCAGGGGAGCCCCGCTTGGGGGCTAAAAGGGCCCCAAAATCAAAAGTGCTCTGGMTTTCGCAGGAACGATAGGCGGCTTCATGTGTTTCCAAAGCATGTTTTGAAACCGACTGAAGAAAAGTTTTTAAAAAAATGCTCGTGACAGTCCCAGTGATACTGTTCTTATATCTCTGTCTCWATGTTCCCTGGCTGTCCACTGCCGAAAAAAATCTCATTACTTTCTCATTATTTTCACTCAGAGCATAAGCCCACTCAGCCCACATGGTGTTTTCAAATCACTAGGAATGATATAACCAGTCCTGTTATTCTCCAGCGAAGACTTGCCCCACCTTCTATTTCTTTAGAGGCTTCAGTGTGAATTGTGAAAATGTAGTTCTGGCTTCAAGGCAGAAATGTCTTGACCCTTGGCTTCAGCAAGGACAGACGAGGCTGTCAATGCCCGAGGGTGTCAGTGCAGAGCAGACCCTTCAGTTTCCYGGCTTTAAATTCACCTCTCTCGCGGGGTGTGTGTCTGTGTGTCAGTTTCTAATGTTTATTTGTGTAAGATAGTATTAGCAGTTGGAGGTTCTTGAGAAAATGGAAGAACCATAAAGTGACACGTTATCTCAGGAYCTTGGAAAGCTTAGGAAAGGTGGGAGATGTATGTCTTTAGGAGTTTTAGTAGAAGTCATTGCTCAGTGTCTAATTTTACTCTACAGTAACCGCAAAAATAATAAACACTAAAAATCTGCTAATAGTTTACAGCAAGCTACAAAAGAGAAACTTAAAAATAAGGCTTGGTTCGTTCTGGTTTTTAAGTACAGAAGAACCAGGGTATATGTATTTGGGGCTGAATATTTATTTATCTATTTATTTATTTGTCAAGCAGTATTTGAAAAATACTAGGAACCTCACAGATCCAGACTGACAGAGGTTSCCAACCCACAGATTTCAAAGGGAATAGTAAAAATGCTCAGACTAAAATGACTTTTGGATCACCTTCGAAAAAAAAAAAATTCAACTGGCTTTTTTCCTTTATTTTTCCCCCTTTCTGCATTATACATTTTTCCTTGTAATCTGATTTTGTTACTTTTACTTCTAAAACTATGCAATTCCCAGAACATCTGCTGTTGTAGGTGAAGCAGTGTGTTCTGAATAGTCTCAACTCGCTAAACAGATAGARTATCTGAGTTTGGCTAGGAAAGAACTTGATCCCTCCTAACTCTGGATACCGCCAGCCACATTTTTTTTTTGAATGTGAGAATGCCACTGAAAGAGCAGTGTTTGCTAGTCCTAGGGACATATATTGTATTATTTTTTCTTCAGTGTTTGTTCACTTTGTGTTCACTTCCCTATGAAAAAGTCCAGCTTCTTTGAACAGTGTATTTTCTGTTTCATCCASAGAGAAGAGTGAAAAACATCCAGTTGCAATTCCTGGTGTTATTTTTGTTATACTTTTGTCTGGCTCTTATTCAAAATCAATTTCAAGATTATAAATAATACAATTCATTATATATTTAAGCCCTATGTACATTACTTGCAGTAGATGGGCAAGTTCTAATCCAAGTCCATCATGTAATTACATCAATTGCAACTTCCCTACTTTCACTGGAGCTAATTCGATTGATTTTAGTGCAAATGAAACGTAAGACTTTCCAACTGTAATGGAAGTTTTGTGTGATAATAAAACAGGGCCCTGCTTTCAGTTACATTTCTGAGTTAGTGCAGTTTATCTTCTCTTACTTGGCAAGGATRTATATCCATTGTGCACCATTAAAAAGAGACATTTCTAATTTAATGGCATAAAGGGCTYTATGGAAGCCCAGGTACATGGGCATGAAGAAGTGACAGCTGTTCCTTTTCAGATCATTGTAGTGCTCACAATGAAGCACTTTAAAAATTAATAAACTTGATATATTCTTTTCTGCTAGTGATGATGAAAGTGTTTAATCAACTGTCAGGTGAAAAAACAGCACCACCAGGAAACTCTGTCAGGTGGAGCTGAAGGAAAAGGGGGGACAGCAGGAGTGCCATTATTTTGTCTATTGAAGAGGGTTTCTACATTGATGATACCTGTTCSGCAAGAAAAGGCCTTACACAAGGTCAGAGGAACTTCTACATTAATTTAAACTTCTTTTGCTTGTTTTTTAAATTAACAAACTTGTTTAGAAAGAGGTGAACTTACTTCCKTATCATCAATTAGTGAATTTACAATATTAGGAAATGTATTATCATCCAACTATCTCTATTTTTTCCAAGCCTGATCAAATAYTGGCTGGAATTCTAGCACTGAGTACAGGGTTGACTGACATTAATGGTACTTCAGTGCAGTCAGCATTACATTTAAAAGCTGTCATATCTTGCAGTGTGCTCCATGCAGGCAGTACCCTGTGCCCATACACAGACTGACTGATTTAGGAAGTGTTTGTAAATTACTAGTTATGTCTGTAGCTGAGACTCTGTAGTTAGAAATTACACATTCCTTTTTCTAAAGAGAAARCATGCCAAACAAATCAATAATAGGATGGGGCTTTTCACAATCCAGGTGATTGTTATAGTTGTTGAGTGTAACTTTAAAAATCTGCTCATGTGAACAATCTTTCTTAATTTAATGACCACACATAGATACAAGGTTTGGAATTGATATTAATTATTGRGGACTGTATAATAATCACTCTTAATACAATACTATTAAGTGTATATACTATACTAGTGACTATATATGATCTCACAGTAATTTAATTGATGAAGTTCAGCTTTGAACAAATTTCTTGGAGGCTCACAGCAGTAGAGAATTTAMCAAATAATTTATAGAAAGGTTTAGATGAATGTTCTAGGACTGGTTTAGAAGTTGCACAATTTAATTCATGGCATTAAAAGCTTTAYTGATTACATTGCAAAGTCATTTGATGAAAGTAAGTTTATAATTTTAACMGTTTGAAACACGCATGATGATGAGATATTGCAAGAGTTAGCAGTATAGAGATTTTGAGAAAAAGAAAACAGTTGGATACTTTCTTTGCATTTTCATTTTGGAGCCAGTCTAAAATGCTTTCTCCAGAAATTAATCCAGTTGAATTATAAATACAGCTTTCAGTCACTTTAAATTCTACAATAAGGCCTTRGATGTTCCCATATGTTAATTTTGGGAAGCATTTCTGACTCCTTTTTCACGTGGGAATAATGCACTATATCTTGAGCACACATGTTGGAAGAATCAGGTCATACTGGCAAGAAAATTTGGGGCCTAAATGTCCATTGAGGCTTCTTTCAACAGAGAATAGATGTAGCTTCTGTTATCATATATAAAGATTAATAAGCATATTGTAAGTACACAGACAGAGACCATTATCTCTAGTTCTTAGAAGCTGTTTAAAAATTTAAGGGTTTTTCCCGTTTAAAGCTATGGATTTCTTCATGCCACTCTTTCTTCCCACAGGACAACCATGATGTTTAACTGAAATTACTGATTCAATTTTGTTCCATCACCAGTATTTAAATAATAAACATTTTAAACCACAAATAATGTTTGGTTAATGTTATACCTTTAGCTGTGCAAAAATTAGGAAACTATTTAATAGCATCCCAAATCCTTCTAACTAGTGGAAAAAAATATTACCCTCTAAAATAATAAGCATATATCAGAAAGCAGTGAAAAATGTGTTCTGACATTTTCCAGTGTCATCTTCTGCACATCTTATGTTAAATATGGAATTTAAAAAGTTGCTTTAAAAGACAAAAGTGGCATACCAGATGGATGTTCTAATAAAGCATGTAGCAGCGATAGGAGAAATATTAAATAGAAATAGACATGAGTATTGTAAGTTAGAGAAAGTGCCATAAAATATGACCTGAGTTATTTTTCAACACAACTCAAGTCTTCAAAAAGAAAATGCAACCACATCACTGCAACTGAAAGCAAGGAAAGTAAGAAACAAATCGAGCTGTCTTTGTAGGGACTCTCCTGTTACGTCTTTCAGGCTTCGGCCAAGTGGAACAGTTAATTCACACAGTACGGTTTACAGCAAGTTTAAACGTTCTTGAATACCTRGGCACAGCATGGATTTTGTCTTTTTCATGCCCTTCTGGTGAGGTCTGAGAGTTGAGCGTCTCCTCTGTGCCAGGACAGCATGACAGAGTTGATGCTTGGGGTGCAGCCCTTTGAGCCTCCAAGGGCCCAGGGGCACTGGCTGCGGGTGTTCCAGAAGAGGCACCAGCCACGTTTGCTGGCACAGGGTGGCTGTTTGTCACCGTCACTATGAACAGCAGGGCTCAGTTTCAAAGAGCAGTTAAAGCACTGAAGTCCTGGGAGGTTCAGTTCTGCCCGTGGAAAGCACTTACCACTGTCCTACAGGGCAGCATTGCCCCGTGGCACCGACAACAGCTCTGTTATTGCAGGGTTGATTCTCAACAAGGAGAGATTGCTCTTTAGGGAGCAAAGATCGTGGGACCTGGCAAGCAGAATATGCAGCAGTCTTTAAAATTTTCGTGTAATACAGAAAAAAAGTCAAAAACCATCTTTTTGCTGTACATTATACATGACTTAAAATCAGTGCTGAAGGAGATGGCSTGTTTTGTTGGTGCTGGTGTGATGGGTCACTCCCAGGCAAACTCAAGCATGAAGGACTTCATGAAGAAGTTAGTAATTTTGTGATGTTTCTCTACTTWAAAAAAWAWRTATATAKATGTGTCTCCTTTTCTTAGTTGCCMTATARAGCRGGTACTCAGTYGTGGGTGCCTTTGGCCTTTCCAAAAGATTGGTGGTATCCCCAGCTTTCCCTCCTCCAGCAGGTCCCTGCCTGCTGACCCTGCAGACTTTGGCAGGAAAAAAAAGCTTTTTGGAGAGCTGGGGTGGTTTTCTTTTTGGTAAGCTGATAGATATTAACTAGCTTATTGCTCAGCCAATCCATATGTCTGAAGAGTACAGATGTTTTCAGGGTTGGTTTTTTTTGGTTTTTTTTGTTTTTTGTTTTTTTTTACCTGAGACATTCTAGAACATCTTTGTAGAACAGATGTGAAATTGGTGACACTCTGTAGCCTATAGTTCCTCATAAGAAGGTAGGATATATATTTGATGAGAGCAGGTCAGTGACTAGGAAAAAAACCCTGCAGGATTTGGTTCTTCAGATTGTAGCTGAAGTCTGTTACAAGCACAAGCTGTAGTTTTGTGTCATAAATTATTTTGGTGTTCTGCTTGGTTGGCTTTCAATTTTCCAAAACAAATGGATATTTCATTTTGGTTATTTACAGTTGTATGCTACTGCATAGYTTTTCTATAGAATAACAAATTTAAGAAGTATACATGCATCATTATGCAACTTGATTTGTTTCACTTTTCTAAAATAACCATATTGACAAACTAAAAATTAATGACTTAAACTAATGGCTCAGCAGAGTTATGTGTTAACAGGGCAATGACAACTCTGTGCAGTCTGAGCTTYATGTCTCTACAGTGCACACTCAAAAATGAGTGCTTCTTTGTTAATAACAAACACTACTGCTTTGTCCCAATAACATATTTTTAATTTCTTGTTTAAGAATGCCATTATACTGCTGCTGTAGCACTTGAAACTGTGTTGCCCACCTGAGTAATCTCCAGCAGGTGCTGGGTTTAAACCCACACACATTTTTCTTGAAACACTCACGAGTATTGATTTCCTTGTTCAGAGGAGTATTAGCTTTTTTAGGCCACCTRTGTGTATATATCTTGTATAAAGAATCATGAATATTTAGGAGGTCAGCACCAAAGAAATGTTGGAACAAGATGGGAACATGGRTGTGGTTGTGGATGGTGCCAAGTGGGGCATCAGTCAGATCTGGTAGAGGAGAGGAGAGAGAACCACTGTGATGGAGTWACCAGGTGTCATCTCTAAATATTGRAAATGAGASAGAGGKAAAATAKKTTCTTTGGTAAACAGTTYCTTTAATGCTGATAMAAGCAGACTAGARGTGCACAGCATCTGCTTGACCACAACGTGACTCACTGTTGTGCTATGGGTGATCTAAATGGAGGTTTTTTTTTCTGAAGGAAGAAAACAAAAACCTTATGTGATGKATCTGGTAATGTCCTACAGAGGAATATCTTCTGACCCCTGCTGCTGATCAGTTCAGACTATGAAGCATGAACTGTAATTATGCTTATTAGCTAGGCACTCATGTTTGCAGACGTGCTAGTGCTCATAAAGTCATTTACTCATGTTTAAGACTATTATACCATTTTTTTCACATTAATTTTGTGCAAGTCATAATTAGACAAACACACAGTGTTACTAATGTCCATTGTCAAACTAATAAATGAAACAGTGGTCAGGAAAAGGTATAAATCATATGAGACACTCCCACCAATCAAACTAGACAAAGCCCCAAACTCCTGACATATGGGGGGGGGGGGGGGAACCACCGAAAAACTTCAGTATTGCAATGGTGCAAATCAAACCTTTTTTTGTTGTTTCAAAGTAAGCTACTTTATAAATTCAAACTATATATGGTCTTAGTTTTAAATCTGAAACTTAAAAACTTTTGAGGATCAGTGTTCTCTCCTTTTATAAGAATTGTTTTGGGAATAAGGAAATAAGAGCTGGCTGAGCTGTTTCATGAGTCCTGTCTTGTTTTAGTAATTTTATCAGAAATATTGCTCTCCCTATATAAATAGTCACAATATAACTGGACTGTGCWTATTTAGTTGGGAGAATTAGGTTTGTACTGCTGCTGGCTGGTACTGGTTTGTTCTCCTGCTGCTTTTGTCTCTGGGGATTTATGGATTTTGGGGGAGATGACAGGAATAGCTGCAGTAGTCCTTGCATAGGAGTCCCTTCAGAGATTGCTGTATTGCTTGCTTTTTCTGTGTGAGTTTCTTCTGTCCAATGTTTCCCCATATCTCCCTTAGTGGTTTATTGCTTGGTTTTTTATTTCCTGTTTATGCACAATGTAATTTGCACCATATGTGATTTTAGAAAAGTGTACCTAGAACAGACTGCATGCCTTAATTTTTTTTATTTGTATTTAGCTTTTTGTATGTTACACTTTGAATCTAGAGAACTTGCTGTCTTTTAGATTGCTCTTTTTGCTTTCTTGCTGTTTTTGCTTTCYATGAAAGCTTGTGTATTGCACTTAAGTAAGCATGATTAAGAAAGTGAAACGAGTTATGAAATCTTCCAACTGCAATTTCTTTATTTTTGGAAAGGCTCTTGGAGGATGGCTGTCTGTAAATTCACTCAAACTTGTCTATCCCATGCACTTTGGTACTACAGTAATACTCAGGTATTAACAGTGCTGTCATATTAGTTGTATTACTATTTTTGATACAACTTAGAAATTTGATCAGCAATTTAAATACCGTATATTCCAGGAAATTTTGATGCACATCTGTGTGCTTTTTTTTTTTTTTTAAGTAGAGTCCTTTCTAAAGAGAAAAACAAAGCAAATACAAAAAGTGGTGCAATAAATGGTAAAATAGAATAGGCCAGGCCTGTTAATTGAACCTTTTTTGTTGTGTTCTCTTCTGTGTGATGAAAAGATTTGAAAAGTGTTTTCAAATCATAAAATCAGAAATGGCTTTCTCTTTTAACTGGCAGCTTTGGCTGAGGCATTCGGTGCATTTCACTAGATTAAACACTTTTCTTTAGATWTTGAACAAAGAGGAAGACTTAAATTCTGGAAATATTATGAAGCAGGTTTCATCCACCATTATAATATTTGATTCTTAGCTAACTTGGGTTAGGATTATTTTTTATTTTGTCCTAAATCATGCTAATTATGCTCACATGAAATGTAGTAGTTTTGATAAGGTTATATTTTTAGTATCAGTTAAAATTTAATTAATTCCTCATCACAATCAAATTAAGAACTGTGTGGATTGTTTTTGTGACTTGAGACAAATGAGGACCTTATTTCACAGCCAATATTGTTTAAACTTCTTGTTTTCAAAAGTTGTGCCTGATTTTGTACAACAGCTTAGTTCGCTCGTGTTAGGAGAGTCTGAACTGGCTGAACTGTTGTCACAACACAGCTGCTGACTTCACCCTGGAGAACAGAGCTGCTGCCAGTGAAAAGCAGTTCATTTCTTTTCTGGCTGATAGAAGAGCTGTTGAAGACTATGCTCTGCCAAGATGAACAAAAGTGATGTCAGCACTACCTCTTAACTTTTCAGCCTCCTTTGAGTTACTTTATGATCTGCAGTTTGGGTTTTACTGTTCCAGAGAATGGATTGCTGCAYAGTGCTCTTTCTGAACTTGGATATTCCTGTACTTAGCCTTCAGAAAGAGCTGAGGTWTTTCTGGTATTTCTTTGCAAATGTGTTTTTACCACTTTGGAATWCCAGTCCACATAACTGGTCTTGAACAGACAGAAATGGGGCCAAAACCAGTCTCCATTTACTTGGGCAGAGCAATTGTGAGCATGTCCAGAATATRGGTGTGAAGTGGCAGCAGGAGCTGGCAGAAGTGTGTGGGAATGATCACACTACTAATGCCAGGTATCAGTCTGAACTGAGGTGTAAATGTGGGGCTGCAGTGAATGCAATTATGTAATRGTAAACCTTGTACTGATCCCCTGGGAAAAGCAAGGAAAAACAGCTAATAAAGAACAGGGTAATAACAGAGAAGAGACAGCCTAATGCTACTGAAAAATACCATATCAGACATTGAGAAAAGTACTTTGCTGTCTGAAGAAAGCTTAGGTATATGAAATGTATGTTAATGTTTCTTTATTTTCTTTTGAAGGATCGRCGTTTTAATGATGAGATTGACAAACTGACTGGATACAAGACAAAGTCACTCTTGTGCATGCCCATAAGAAACAGTGATGGAGAGATTATTGGTGTTGCCCAAGCAATAAATAAGACCCCAGGAGGTGCCCCTTTTTCTGATGATGACGAAAAAGTAAGATTACCTTTACTTTTGCATGCTTTCTAATTTTTTYCTCTAATTCAGTAGACTTGTGTAAAGAGACTTAATCAATAAATAGCTCATCAACTGTGTTAATTTTTTTAGAAGTGCATAACACAGTGTACATTTTTGTTGTTTGCAATAGAAAATGTATATTTGTTCTGTAAATGCATGAGTTCTTCTGGCTTCAATTTAATCTTATGCAGACCTTTTAATGTAGTAGACTTCCTTAGTAGGAAGACTTTTAAATTTTTTTTTATTTTATTTTGGGGAGAAACTATCACATAGACACTCCTAAGCTTGCTGGCTCTAAAAATCAAGATCTTCTCTTAGAACTTTCTGTGGGATAAATGCCTGTAGTACATGCAAAAGAAGTTTAATTTTGGAGGAAATTATGCACATGCAACTCTGATATTCTAAAATATTTGAAACTTTCCAATAGCCATGAAAGGACAAAGAGGATGGGAAAGAACACCRGGTATTTGTATGTTAGGTGGAATTTGGAGAGTAAAGTGAGCTTAAAAGGCAGGAAAGTAGAAGTATCTGCTGAGAAGGAACTTAAATTAAAGAGAGTGGAGAAAATATGAAATATTGCTGTTGAAGGCAAATGTATTCAGCTGACCTTGAAGGGAAAATGTGCATGAAGCCAAAACATGACWGGGGAAGAGAATGGTAGAGGGCAGCAACCTGGGGAGGAACAGAACTGCAACTCTCTGCCCAGGAAAAGAGAAATGGAATCTGCTTTAGGCACATAATAGGGAACTAYTACTCTTCTGTGTATTAAAATAGCATTGAATCTTTTTTGGTGGAAGTGTAGTTAGAGGTAGACTTGTCCTCCAAGAAGCTCTTTATATTGATTCAATGGCAGTTAATGTTATACACATTTTTTYCCCCCCATAAAAATAATTAACTCTTGATTTTTATTTCTGCAAGGTGTTTGTGTAACTAATTTGGCATAGTGGTTTAGTYTGAATTAACTAACTTTAAAAATAACTCTCAATTTTCAGATGGAACTGTGTCTGAAGTTATCCAGTGCTACTTAAATTCCTTCTTTAGAAGCTAACTAAACTTGTGTAACTATAGGCTTCTTCTGAATTASTTTTGATTCTTGAGAATCTTGGATGTTGAATATTGATTTATTAGCAATGAAAGCCTCAATGAGTAACTAAATGCAAATTAAACCATCCCTGAAGAGGGGTTTTCTCTACTTCTTTTTATTAGCATTGTCCTTGTAAAGGGAATTTTGTTTAAAATGGAGCCTTTATGGTGTATTCTACATTTGATTATCAYACATTCAACTAGCAAAACAGCTGTGTACATGCAAATTGTGTATTACATAAATAGTCTAATATATGAATATTTGATGCTGGTACTGMTACTGTGGCATTTGCTTTCATTCAGTGATTACCGAGTATTATCTAAAAATCAGCATATTGCCCATACTTTGTCATCTTTATTTTTTTCTATTAATTTATCTCACTATAGGCTATAGTTAAAAGCCTGTATGTCAGAACTCTTCAGGAATATATGAAATGGGTTGTGACATGTAGATTTTATGGAAACGTAAATGAGAACATAAACCATCATTTTGCCCTGTAACAGATCTTGGATTTAATGAGGCCTGGCAGTCCATGTGCTGTTATTTCAAAACCTGTGCTTTTAAGTTTTTTTCACTCACTTGGTAATCTAGAAAGCATGATATACCTCTGGGAAGCAAGAGAACACATACTTTCAGGAGAGCTGTCTTGCAGGATTAGCAAACAGGGTTTTTTTAATCTAATATCAATAGATGGTTGTGAGGAAAGGAGGCAGGTAAAAACTGAGAGGCCCTCTTCAGAATAAGAAAAGAAAGCTGGGCTAGCCTGGGTATTGAGATGCTTGTGCAGAGAAGCCTAATGAGTAGCTGGCAGAAGACCTATATGCAGCTTTATGTTGATGTTACATTTTCTGACAATCAGTGGCTTCAGAATGGCTAGAAAATGAAAATGTAAATTACTGGTCTTCTTCCTGCCCCCGAAACCCTCTCAGAGAAATGTCACTATCATTGAGTCTGGCTCTTGTTTGTAAGTGTCTTTCCTCTCTTAGTATTGTGCAAAGCAATTAAAAGAATCTGTTGGAGGTTTTTTTCACAAAACGACATTAGACTATATTGTCTAATGAAATGTCTCTTGGCAGCACTGCTGTCTTGAGTCAATAGGAAACAAAGACTTATGTTTTCAATTATAATTAAGTAGATGCTAGCATCATTTTTATGTACTCAGTTATTTTCAGGAAGTTAATAGCAAATAAAATATTTAAGATTTTAGGAGTTTTTAATGCTCTCAAGCTGTAACCAAGTTTATGCTTTGCAGTATCAAAAAGGGAGCATTATTTTCCAAGGTTCTTCTGCTTTTGTTTTTCACAGCAAATTCACAGGGCTTTATTTTACATGTCTGACTGCAGTGTTAAAAGCACAGCACTAGTGACAAATAGGAGTGAATTTTCCACATTTAATTATTGTTTCCCACTGCCAAATTTCCTTTCTCCTTTTGGTGTTAGGGATGTTTCAGCCAATTCATTGTTTAAGTGCAGAATTAGATAGCCACAGGCATGAGAGAAAGGTGTTTGGTGTCACAATGTGTTTTGTCACYCCAATATTAGTGGCTCAGTCGAACAGACTGCTTTCGGAGATTTTTCAGTTGGGTACAAACAATAGTAGAATTCCTTATTTATAGCCATCGCTATTAAAGTATGTGTAATTGGTAACTTTTTAGGAAAATAGCAGGTGATACACTTCTACATGTATTTTGCAAATGAAGAGAGCAGTTCATTTGCAGACATAGAGCAGAAATTTAAAACCCCCAAACCCTTGGAAAGAATTATGCTCCCTTCATGCATTCCCTGTTCTGTGCTGAAGATTCACTTAAGTGTGTGTGCTGTTTGCTGGTGAGTCATTCTTGTTCCAGGACTGGTGAGAAAAGCCTAACAAGAGTTTGACAGTCTGTGGTTTAGATTTTTGTCTGCCCTTCAGAGTCTTCGAGACGCAGTGCCAAAACAAATCTAATCCTCCATCAGGGAGGCTTAATGAACAGCAACAGCAGCTCCATGGTCACTAAAATTGGCATCCTGGTTCTCTGTGCCTCTGACATCCTCCTCATCTGAAAGAGGTGAATTGACCGCGGGGAAAGTACCCAGGGCTGCCATCTCGAATCAAACCCTGCTGGTTTTGCTGAAAACCACTRGTTTGAATGCAGTGAGATCTGGGAGGGGGAAGTAAGAACTGGATTTGGTTGTCTGTGCTCTGGCGATAATTTTATTAAGAAGTATATATGTCTATAGATTGCAGGATTTATCTGATGTGTGTTTGGTTTGTGGGGGCTTGAAGGTAAGTGTTCTCATGCTCCATCTGTATTTCTTACATTCCTAATAGCAGCCTTGTGATTCTAAATTTTCCAATTTGACATGCTCTTCTCAGTCCRTATTAGTCAAAGCTWAAATATATCCTATACCAGGTCTACMATAGTGATAAATGATTTCCAGGGATTTTGCTATASCTACTGATTGATTTTCTGAGTTTTTGCATTATGAGCTTAGAGTCATGCTGAGCTTAGAGAGCATCTTCAAAGTCAGTAGGGACCATTTCTTTATCTTAGGGAAATAATCAACTGTAAATAAAACTTCTAGGAAAGGAAGTGATCCAGAACAGGCAAGCATCTCTAGCTGTTGTGAAAATGGTTAACTCCAGCTCTTTGAATGTGTGGAATTTACAAAAAAATAAAGTAATCTGAAAGTTATTGATGGATCCACTACAAAGGAACATGAGAAACAAATTAGATAAAGAATTTTTGTGTTTCATATATTGCAGTATGTGATAACATCCTGCTTACATCGACCTTGGTTCTCAGTGAGATGCCAAAAGCTATTATTTAAAAATGGTGCAATCCTCAAAGGTGTCATGTGGTCTATATGTCACTTACCTTCCAGGGCAAGAGACATATTTGCTGAAAGAAGGCCAAAAATAATAAAGATATTTGAAGGATGAATGTGCTGAAGCACTWCCGCTATCTGGGAAAACTCTAATGGTCTATTAGGTATACTTCTCAAAAAGTACTTGCTGCACAAATCTAAATTAAAATAAATCATAGTAACTGAACTGTCTTGCTGGGGGAGYTTAAAGCAATTTGCCACTAGGATATGTGCTTTATCCAGGCATCTTAACACCACTGGTTTGTAACCAACAGCACAAAATGACTGCCATGACAGATATTTGCATGGACTTCTTTCAGTCTTGTATACATTTTGTCATGCTTTCAAGTTAAGCTGGAAGTCTAGGTTTCTTCTTAATTACAGAACCCAAAGTGTACTTGAAACTTAACAAAAACCTCCCTGTACCAATACCTCTGTTTTAAGACTGGCAGTTAATATTTGAATTAGACATCTTTATCTCTGAGGTATGGAAACGTGCCCTAAGATGTTACAGTGATATTTCAGTGAATATTTCTTCAAAGAAAAATATGTATTTTCCTAGAGTTAGGGGCTACTTTGTTGCTGTGTGTTTATGATAAATATTACACTAAATTCTTGATACTYGTTTGATGCCTCTAGGGCCTATCATAATACAAATAAACAAATTGTCAGATTTGGTATCAGGAAGGGTTTCCTCTATAGAACTGTTGAAGACAAATTGTCATGGGKKTTTTTTKGKTTTTTKTTTTKKTTTTTTTGTGGGGACTGAAGTTTTGTTCTCCCCTTCCTTGCTCTCACCATTATACAAGATACCTGGATTCTTCCTGCAATTGCCAGCAGGAATCTGAACCTATTGGTTCTTCCCATATTGCCTGTGCTTGTATCTTCTTAATTAATACGGAGAGACCTGAATAAATAAGAGCTCTTTTCTGTGAACCTAGACTGTCATTTGGCTAATGTTCGTAGTATTTGACTCAGAGCTCACTAAATTAAACGARTCTCTGCTGACTTCATGATTGTTTAAAATCAAACTTCTGTTCATTTCTGAC